TTCCATCCCTGGCAGGCTGTCTCTCGTGCTTTCCGTGCCCCCCTGAGGCGGTTCTTTATTTATATCCCTGGCATCCCGTGCTTTCCGTGCCGCCCCTGAGGCGGTTTTTTATTTATATAAAAATCTAAATGCTTCGATCCCTGGCATCCGCTTTCTGTGCCCCTTGAGGCGGTTTTATTTTTCTAAAAAGCTAAATGCTTCAATCCCTCTGCAGGCAGTCTGACAAGGAATGCGAGCGTTTAGGTTTTATATAAAATAAAAACTATTTTTTTTAACGAAACACTTCCTCGCGGCTTGTCAAATGGCCTAGCTCTGTGCCCCTTGAGGCGGTTTTATTTCTCTAAAAAACTAAATGCTTCAATCCCTCTGCAGGCAGTCTGACAAGGAATGCGCGCGTTTAGCTTTTTATATAAAATAAAAACATATTTTTTTAAAAAAAATGAAACACTTCCTCGCGACTTGTCAAATGGCCTAGCTCTGTGCCCCTTGAGGCGGTTTTGTTCATATAAAAATCTAAATGCTTCAATCCCTCTGCAGGCAGTCTGACAAGGAATGCGTGTGTTTAGTTTTTATATACAATGAAAACTTTATTTTTCAAGTAAGGTCCGGCAGAGCCGGGGGGCGGAAGTTTCAAAGCAGTGAACAACTATAGTTTGGAGAACTGTCCTTGGCCCCTTGCTTCTCTCTCTCTCTGTCTTTTTCCCTCTTTCTCTCTTTCTCTCTTTCTCTTTCTCTTTCTCTTTCTCTTTCTGTTTCTCTGTCTCTTTCTCTCTCTTTCTATCTATCTCTCTAGCTATCTCTATATCTGTTTATTGATCTATCTATCTACCCATCTTTCTCTGCACTTAAAAGTTGCGATGTTCAATCCCCGAAAGTTGACTTCGCGTACTACTTTCGTACTTAAAAGTTGCGATTTTCGAGCCCCAGCTGCGAAACTGGACTTCACGTACTACTTTCGTAGTTAAAAGTTGCGATTTTCGAGCCCCAGCTACGAAAGTGGACTTCGCGTACTACTTTCGTACTAAAAAGTCGCGATTTTCGAGCCCCAGCTGCGAAAGTGGTTTCGTACTTAAAAGTTGCGATTTTCAAGCCCCAGCTGCGAAAGTTGACTTCGCGTACTACTTTCGTACTTAAAAGTTGCGATTTTCAAGCCCCGGCTGCGAAAGTGGACTTTGCGCACTACTTTCGTACTTAAAAGTTGCGATTTTCAAGCCCCAGCTGCGAAAGTTGACTTCGCGTACTACTTTCGTACTTAAAAGTTGCGATTTTCGAGCCCCGGCTGCGAAAGTTGACCTTGCAAAAATGCTGCGCCTGCCACCAAATCTGTGCTTGACCTTGCTAAAGTGCTGCGCCTGCCACAAAATCTGTACTTGACCTTGCGAAAGTGCTGCGCGTGCCACGAATTTTGCACTTGACCTTGCGAAAGTGCTGCACCTGCCACAAATTCTGTACTTGACCTTGCGAAAGTGATGCGCCTGCCACGAATTTTGTACTTGACCTTGCGAAAGTGCTGCGCCTGCCACGAATTTGGCACTTGACCTTGCGAAAGTGCTGCGCCTGCCACGAAATCGATACTTGACCTTGCGAAAGTGCTGCGCCTGCCACGAAATCTATACTTGACCTTGCGAAAGTGCTGCGCCTGCCACGCAATCTATTTCTCTAGCTATCTCTATATCTGTTTATTGATCTATCTATCAGTCCATCTTTCTCTGCACTTAAAAGTTGCGATGTTCAATCCCCGAAAGTTGACTTCGCGTACTACTTTCGTACTTAAAAGTTACGATTTTCAAGCCCCGGCTGCGAAAGTGGACTTTGCGCACTACTTTCGTACTTAAAAGTTGCGATTTTCAAGCCCCAGCTGCGAAAGTTGACTTCGCGTACTACTTTCGTACTTAACAAGTTGCGATTTTCGAGCCCCGGCTGCGAAAGTTGACCTTGCAAAAATGCTGCGCCTGCCACCAAATGTGTGCTTGACCTTGCTAAAGCGCTGCGCCTGCCACAAAATCTGTACTTGACCTTGCGAAAGTGCTGCGCGTGCCACGAATTTTGCACTTGACCTTGCGAAAGTGCTGCACCTGCCACAAATTCTGTACTTGACCTTGCGAAAGTGATGCGCCTGCCACGAATTTTGTACTTGACCTTGCGAAAGTGCTGCGCCTGCCACGAATTTGGCACTTGACCTTGCGAAAGTGCTGCGCCTGCCACGAAATCGATACTTGACCTTGCGAAAGTGCTGCGCCTGCCACGAAATCGATACTTGACCTTGCGAAAGTGCTGCGCCTGCCACGAAATCTATACTTGACCTTGCGAAAGTGCTGCGCCTGCCACGCAATTCAAACCTTGCGAAACCTTCGCGCGGCCGTGCCAATGGCCCGTCTCCGAACCCGTTCCGAGACCGTTCCGAGACCGTTCCGAGACCGTTCCGAGACCGTTCCGAGACCGCCTCCGTACAGGCGTCGCAGCCGAGGTGGTTTGCGCACTGTCCGGAAGCCCAATTCACGCACAGCGCCAACGTTTTCTGCATCTTGCCATCCCCCAGCTCGCAGAGAGTGCTTGCGAAAGTGCTGCGCCTGCCACGAAATCGATACTTGACCTTGCGAAAGTGCTGCGCCTGCCACGAAATCTATACTTGACCTTGCGAAAGTGCTGCGCCTGCCACGCAATTCAAACCTTGCGAAACCTTCGCGCGGCCGTGCCAATGGGCCCGTCTCCGAACCCGTTCCGAGACCGTTCCGAGACCGTTCCGAGACCGCCGCCGTACAGGCGTCGCAGCCGAGGTGGTTTGCGCACAGTCCGGAAGCCCAATTCACGCACAGCGCCAACGTTTTCTGCATCTTGCCATCCCCCAGCTCGCAGAGAGTGCTTGCGAAAGTGCTGCGCCTGCCACGAAATCTATACTTGACCTTGCGAAAGTGCTGCGCCTGCCACGAAATCTACACTTGACCTTGCGAAAGTGCTGCGCCTGCCACGCAATTCAAACCTTGCGAAACCTTCGCGCGGCCGTGCCAATGGGCCCGTCTCCGAGACCGTTCCGAGACCGTTCCGAGACCGTTCCGAGACCGTTCCGAGCAGCCGAGGTGGTTTGCGCACAGTCCGGAAGCCCAATTCACGCACAGCGCCAACGTTTTCTGCATCTTGCCATCCCCCAGCTCGCAGAGAGTGCTTGCGAAAGTGCTGCGCCTGCCACGAAATCTATACTTGACCTTGCGAAAGTGCTGCGCCTGTCACGAAATCTACACTTGACCTTGCGAAAGTGCTGCGCCTGCCACGCAATTCAAACCTTGCGAAACCTTCGCGCGGCCGTGCCAATGGTCCCGTCTCCGAGACCGTTCCGCACCCGCCTCCGTACAGGCGTCGCAGCCGAGGTGGTTTGCGCACTGTCCGGAAGCCCAATTCACGCACAGCGCCAACGTTTTCTGCATCTTGCCATCCCCCAGCTCGCAGAGAGTGCTTGCGAAAGTGCTGCGCCTGCCACGAAATCTATACTTGACCTTGCGAAAGTGCTGCGCCTGCCACGAAATCTATACTTGACCTTGCGAAAGTGCTGCGCCTGCCACGCATTTCAAACCTTGCGAAACCTTCGCGCGGCCGTGCCAATGGGCCCGTCTCCGAGACCGTTCCGAACCGTTCCGAGACCGCCTCCGTACAGGCGTCGCAGCCGAGGTGGTTTGCGCACAGTCCGGAAGCCCAATTCACGCACAGCGCCAACGTTTTCTGCATCTTGCCATCCCCCAGCTCGCAGAGAGTGCTTGCGAAAGTGCTGCGCCTGCCACGAAATCGATACTTGAGAAAGCTATCTATGTGTTAAGCTGGCTATATGTCAAAGCTATCTATCTGTCATGCTAGCCTATTGGAAAGCTATCTATCTGTCAAGCTAGCTATATGTCAAAGCTATCTATTTGTCATGCTAGCTACCTGTCATAGCTATATGTCAAAGCAGCTAGCTCACTTAGTTCCAGTACTACGGAAGTTTCTTGTTAAACTTCCTTTGACTACGGAAGTTTCTTGTTAAACTTCCTTTGATTAGGTGAATTCACCACCCATTTTAGGACCTATTTTATTGGGGATTGGGATGTTCACTGGGGGTACAATCTGGATTTTGACCCATGGCCATTAGGCACCCAACAAGGGCTCGGGGGGAGAGATCTCTGTAAACGCTGCCTTGTTCGGCCTTCTAGTCAAGTGAAAAATGCCGGGGGGAGTATTCCTTCCAGAGTAAGGTGTTTTTCGTTGGGCAAAACGGGTGATGAAAAAACCCAACCCTTGCTTGGCTACGGAGTTCACAACCCCGTCAGCGAACCAAGCAGTCGCAGCGAGCCAAAGGATGCGGGCATTGACACAATCCGATTTGGCTCACGTTCCTGCATGTGTGTAAGTCCCTGTTCTAGTGTATGTGTGTGTGTGCGCTCGCTGGTGCTTCTTATGCCACTGCTGGCATCGGCAAATCCCGTAGCAACACCCGCAGTCAGGTGCTTGAAGACAACTATCCTCCTTCCAGCAGTCATTAGGTGGGGTTTGGAAGACTACCATCCCGGAGATCTACAATGGAATCCCTTCAACGCAAACGGCAAGACCCTCTAATCAGAACCCTTGCTTTGTGGCCTTCAAAATGGCAGCTTTTCATGACCTTACAAAACATGGGGAGCCTTAGGTATCATAACTCAGCACCTTGGCCTTTCCAAATGAAGCTTCCCGTTTCTGGAACACTCGCCCGGTGCCCTGGAACGCTCGCCCAAGCGGAAAGTAGTCTTCGAAAAGCGGCCTGCGCGGGGGGGTTCTTTCGCACACAGACACGGACAGACACGGACACACTCACGCACACACAGACAGACACCACACACCCACACACGGAGAGAGTTGAGACACAGACGCACAAACAACAGACACCACACACCCACACATGGAGAGAGGGAGACTGATAGAGGGAGACACACACAAACACAGACACACAAACACAAAAGCACGACTCGGAGGTGGGGAGGCTTAGCTCGCGCATTGAGAGGTGGACCAGTGGTGCGCGGACTACGAGGCGAAGATCCGGGCCATGGGCGGCATCGGCTTCTTCATGGGGGGCATCGGCCGCTTCGGCTCCCCGAGGTTCCCCCCCCCCAAAACGCTGGATGGAGACTGGCCGTTTTTTTTTCCCTGTTGGCCCACAAGATGATTAATAAAATACCTCCAGGGGAACATGGAGAACCCCGGTTTTTGGAGGGGACCTGTTTGAGAGTTTGCTTGGGGGGAACTACCGGGCAAAAGGGGAGTGGAAATATCGGCCAATTTTTGACAGCTGGCTGGGAAGCTTCTGGCGCAGACGGCGCAGGCTCGACTTGACAGATTGCCTGTTGAGAGAAACAAGTCAACCATCAAGGGTATTCCTGATGTGTTTTTCTTTTCTGGCGCCTGCCTTGTGTTCTTTGACCTGTTGCAAGCTGGAGTCTAATTTCGCAGCTTTCTGATTTCGAAATACATCGAGTGTTCTTGCTCGGCCTCTGGTCGAAAATCTCAGCTGGTTTCAGCGTAGGCCCAGCGTAGGCAAGGCTGCAGCCCACCTTAATGCCTATCCCCCTTTTTTTTCTCGGCTCATAATTACCACCAATGCTGAAGACATGGTCACAGTTGGGCTTTCGTCAGCAGAAAAGGTTCGTGAATTGCAAGCAGCAAAGCGCTTTCATGCTCTCATGTACCTCGTAGTCCGTCCCGAATGATACTTGCAAATTGCGCAAGCGCCGGCATAGGCGGTTGATGCGTCACTGGCAGTATTGCACCACAACACCATATGTGCTCATTGGAGACGCGCCCAAATCCCAAACATCCTTCCCTGCAAAAGTGTGGTCAGCCTGTGGGGATGATGGATCAGATGATTAGACCAATCCCGGCCCAAAAGACTGCGGGAAACCAGTCTTCAAGCAAAGAAAGGGAACCCCATTATCATGCATTCAAGGGGAAGCAAAAACACGGTTCTCAGGCCCCCCCGCCAAAAAAAAATGAAGAAAGAAACACAGTCAGTTGGGTCTATTGTGGACAAGGGAAATGACTGAGAGACCCTTGACAGGGGGGTTGATGAACATTTTTTACATGGGATTTCCATTTGGGGCACCACCCGAAAAAAGATGATATTCACCAAATGGAAAAGTGACCCATGGTATCCCATGAAGGCCCTAAGTGGAATTTTGATCAACCCGCCCCGCCCCCATCAAGGATCTGCATGCGCGCCTCAGGTCCGGACGGGCACGTGGCCTTCAACTGCCAGGGCTGTGACCACTTCGCCACCACGCGGCTGGACCAGCTGAACTACGCCTCCCAGGCGGCAGCGGCAGGCCGGGCGTCCGAAACGAATGAAGTGAGGTGGGCCTCTGAAAGTGGTGGCATTCTGACGGTGTCTCAAAAAGCTGCTTTTGGGTGTTGTGTGTGTTTGGGTGATTTTGAGGAGATTGAGGTTCACAAGCATCTTGATGTTTGATTCCGCTTTCTTCAGGTGTTTTTCCCCAAAGAAACACCACTGGAAGCAAACACCCTTTGGGTTTCTCAAGAAGTTACTTTTGGGTGTTTGTGTGTGTGTGTGTGGTTTCCCTTCGAGTGATTTTGATTGAGATACGCAACTCCTATTTTAGGAAATCAACATGGCTGACCTGACAACTGATGTTGCCCTGGTAGCTTTTTTATTTTCACACTGGTCAGAATGCATTCCCTTTGCAGAAGTCACACCCTTTGTTTTAGGAACCGGAGCTCCCACAAGCATTTCTCAAGCACTCCCCGCAATTGGGTGGTGGGATGGTCATTGTTCGTGTTTGAACCCTTCCTGTAGAAGCTGAATCCGGAGAGCCGTGCTAAAGTCAAGGGTGGCTCTCCTTTCTTTGTGGGGGGGCCCAGTGGGGGGGGTTGAGTCATAGGCGGACTTTGTTTCCCCTCGACCGGAGATGGCTGTGGGTCAAAACCCTGTACCCCTGGTGAACATCAAACTAGGTGGCAAATGGATGTTCATCCACCCCAAAATGGAGTCATAGGTTATGCCCCATGGCCATATGTTGCCAGGAGACTTGGGCGGCATTGAGGCGGTGAGGAAGCGCAAGGTGATCACGATCGGCCTGGGGACGGTGACTTACAACCCCGCTTGTGTGGCGCTGATCTGCGCAGCAGGGGAAGCCAAGGCCCAGGTGGTAAGAAGCTCGGAGAAAAAAACGCAAACGAAGAAATAATAATTAAAAAACACATAACAAAAACATGTGGGAACTTTTGCCTGTCAGACTCAAACCGCCATTTCAGCCTGATGGCTGCTAGTTGAATGTGTTGGCGACTCCCTCCTGCCTGTTGACAATGATAGTCTGCCGGAGCCCGCTGTCCACTTTGGCGGAAAGAGCTCCAAACACAAAACCACCGGAGCAATTGAAAACAACGGCCTGACATGGTTGCAACGATGGGATGGGCCCCAGATGCAACAAACACATATTACACGAAGCGGGGCCTTTGCGCCATCATGGGCCTAAATCGGCGGTCCCTGGTTTTTTCCCCAATGATCAAATCAGAGGAAATCAGCGTGCCTCCAATTGGCGATGTGGAGCCCGGTGGTTGCCCATTTATCTGCCCGAACCAGGTTTCAGTTTCGAATCCCAGCGGGCTCTAAACCACACACTGAGTTCAAGATCCCTGGAAGCTTCTTAGGCTGATCTGACAGCTCGAGTCACCTGAGGAAACGCGGTGGAAGAGAAGCCCCACGTGAACTTCCCCGCCACGGCCTTGCACAAACTCCCTGCCGCCGCCTTCTTCGTGACCCAGGGCGCTGCCAAGCTGTTGGTGCGCCGCCAGCTGGCCATGCTGCAAACGACGCCCAACTCAGGTTTTTCAGGGAACCATCTCGAAACTTGCAGTTTATGGAGTGACCACTGGGGGACCACTGGACAAATCGCGAAATGCTTTCTTGCTCCCTTTGGGTAAGAAAGCAGTCTTGAATCATTTTGACCTTGGAACTCAGCAAGCGGAGGGCCCTTCTCAAAGGGATGCCCGTTGCAAATCCATGGGCACCATCCCAAGTCACATGCCGCGTGGGGAGCTCAAGCTTCTGAAATGTGTTTTTGCCCAATCGAAATGGGAATGATCGCATTCCGATACGTGTATTGATCCTAAAGGCTTCAAACCGCCTCAAGTGCCCTAGTCATGATTTTTGCCCCCGTTTCCTCTCAAAGGGGGCACCCCCTTCCCTGTTTGGATGCGCATATTGTTTGCGGGTTCCCTTTTCGAGGTTGGTGAAGTAAAACCGACAGAAGCACAATCATAGGTGTGCTTGTTGGTTGTTTTGGTGGAAAAATGGGTGGCCCTGGTTTACCTGGTGGTTTAATCATCTACCAGGGCCATCTATTTTCCTTAAAGGGACACATATACCTATCAGGACAATGCTTGAAGTTCCCGCCCCACTTGGACACATAGATGTTCCCGACGGTTTGAGGAAGGCCATCGACGCGCCAGTCATCGAGCGGGTGCTGGTGAGCCTCTGCTGCACGCTGCGGAAACGGCTGCTGGACCTCAACGAGGCCCGAAAGCTCACATGGCCATGGCTCAAAAGCCAAATCGTACCCCCAATAAACATCCCAATCCAACCACTAAAATAGACTAAAATGGGCGGTGCACATACCCCAAAATGGTACTATTGGTTACTAAAATAGGTTCTAAAATGGTGGCGAATTCACCTACCCCAAAATGGGATCCCATTGGCTTTGACCCACAGCCACATAGAACCCAAGAGGTCCCCATCCCCCCATAAGTGACCATGGAACCCCATGAAAAATGGAACCCACCATTCAATACATGGAATTGGTCTTTTTGCATGGTTCCCATGTGAATTTGCTTCCCGATGCATATGTTGTTGTTTTGCGTGAATTCAACCTGAAAATGGCCCACTTGGGCCGGATTTGTCGGGTTATTCCTTTGCTACCAGGGGTGGCAAACATGGGAAAAACAGTTTTTGGGAGAGCCGCCAAGACAATTAAATAAGGGGGTCCCGTAAAACAGGCGACACCCTTATGGAACCCAACCTGATGTTCTCGCTGGCCGGAGGCGGACCTGGCTGCGTGCCCTTTGGCCAGCTGCGCAGTGCAGCGCTCGGGCCGAGCTTTAGCGGAGCTGGCAGGCCAGGTGCGCCAGTCTTTGATCCAGCGGCTCGAAGAGAAGCGGCGCCGGGCCCGGTGGTTTTTGTGATCGTGTTTGAGCCGCTAGAAAAAACGGGCCCGGGACAGTTACCACCCTTGGCTTGAAATGGTAGTCGAGCCTGCTGAAGGTAAGACTGGGAAAAAGCCTCACCCTTGGGACTTCACTCGGGCTTAACTATGGCTACTGTTGACCCATGTTGTGAAGAGCAAGTTTGACGGGAACGAGGGGCTGCCACCCTATTTCAGCAGGGGGAATGTTTGTTGAGACTCGTTTGCTCCAAGAGACCGATGGTCCCAAAGCCGTTGCCTTTCGTCTCTTTCATGGCGCGGCATTGGCTGTCAAGTTCTCATCCGAGGAAGATCGAGCGCGGATCCCAGGTCAGGGAGAAGGCGAAGTTTCTGCACACCGAGCCGCACCATGATGACATCATGCTGGGATATCTGCCGGCAGTGCTGCGGCATACCCGGGTGCCCTCCAACGAGCATCACTTTGTGTGCGCCACCAGCGGCTTCAACTCCGTGTCCAACAATCACATGCTGATGCTCTTAGACCGGGTGGAGCGCTTTGTGACGTCTCCCACCTTCAATCGCCTGTGCTCGGAGAAGTACTTCGCGGAGTCCTCGCTGGACCACCGCAGGCGCGACGTTTGGAAGTTTTTGGATGGCATCGCTGCAGCAGACGATGAGCTCAGAGATGAAGGAGCTGCCCGCAGACTGGTTTACAACCTTTGCCAGATTTATCAGCTGCCTGCCGCTTATGGCAATGCATCCCAGCTGCTGGCGAAAGTGGGGGAGCTCCGAACGTACCTCAGGCAACGGTATGCGGGGGAGAAAGACGTGACGGACATGCAAACTTTGAA